ATCTGTGCATAGTCAAACAACAAACATACACACACACACACATTGTGATAGGTGCTATGAAAGAACAACACAGGATGCTGTTAGAGAATAATGGAGAAAATGACCAATAATTGGGGAATTGTTAGATAATGTTATTAAGTCGCCTGCAAAGGCTTTTGAGATGAGGTTACTGAAATGGGAGATGTGCAAAGAATGATAGAGCTAACTATCTATCTGATGGAGATAGGGTGTGTGAAATCCCTGGTCAAGAAAGGGTTTGATATGTGTAAGCACAAAGAAACTGAAAGAAAATACGAATGGCTGAAGTCCCTTAAGTGTAAGGTGGAAATCGCATAAAATAAATTTAAATATACAGATTCATGAACAACAATGGTTGCTGCAATTACCAAAATTTGAGACAATAAAATACTCATTAATTGGAAAATAGTTATTTGCAATCATAATTTGAATTTTATCATAGTACCTTTTAAAATTAAAAAATGTATAATGAAATTATTAAATAAAGTATATGGGAAAATTATTAAATAAAATATAAGGTAAATAAAATGAGAGGATAAAATAGTATATGTAATAGTATTCTACTTAATAGAAAAAAAATCTAAAAGATCACCAGAAGGTTGAAAGCAGTTGAATCCCTTAAAAACAGCAATATATGGGGAGAGAGAAGATGAGATGAGTGCTTTAATTTTTTAGATACTTTTATTCATTTTTAAGATTATTGGCAAAAATAAAACAACTACATACAGCTTTTCTCTAAATATTAAAAATAAACTTAGAGACAGAACTCTAGTATTCTTGTGTGTATTTTCATATGGAGCAAAATACTCAGTGAAACAAAATGTTTAAATCCTGTTAACTAAGAAACAGTATCTATATGTGTGTGTAAAGGGGAAAGTCATCTGTCTGTGTGTGTATCTGTGTTTCATGAGAAGGAGACATTTAAAATAATATTTGCTATTGAGCTACTATAAAACAAAATCAATAATCACTCATAAAGCTCAGCATGATTTGCCAAACAATAAGACTTTCATTTGTATTCATGAGTGTTGAAGGGAAAATGCCTAAATACCTATTTAGTAGAAAGATTTAGCTAACCACTGCTCTTAAATCCATTTGCTTATCTTCTTTTGGTATAGGAAAAAATTTACAAGAACACAACCATATTCAAATACTGTGGTCTTTATACTCAAAAATCTCTGTTATGTCTATTCTGCCTCATGCAAGTACAGAAATCATTTCAATAGATGTAACAATAAACTAACAAAACAACTCTAAAATTTTTTGAAAAAATATTTTAGTAGTAACTCATCTACTGCTTATTTTCTAGCATGCATCTAAATAACTTATTTGGTTATAGATTCAATGCAATCCATATTAAAATAATTAAAATACATTCTTCTCAGAACTAGAACAACTAATCCTAATTTTGTATGGAATCTCAAAATACCCCAAATGGCCAAAAACAACTTTGAGAAAGAATAAAGTGGGAGGCATCACACTCCCTGATTTCAAACTATACTATTAAGCTACAATAATCAAAACAGCATAGTACTGGCATGAAAACAGATTTATAGACCAATGGAATAGAGAGCCCAGAAATAAATCCTGTCTTATAAGGTCAATCAATCTACTATAAAGGAAGTAAGAATATACAATGGAATAAAGACAGTCTTTTCAATAAGTGGTGCTTGGAAAACTGGATATATACAAAAAGAGAAATAGGACTGCTTTCTTACACTGTATACAAAAAAATAGACTCAAAATAGATTAAAGATTTAAATCTAAGATCTGAAACCATAAAAATCCTAGAAGAAAACGTAGGCAGTAAACTCTTTGAGATCTTTTTGGATATGTCTCTTTAGACAATCAAAACAAAAAATAAACAAATGGGACCACATCAAAATAAAAATATTTTGCATAGCAAAGGTAACCATCAACAAAATGAAAAGACAACCTACTGAATGGGAGAAGATATTCATAAATGATATAACTAATGAGGGGTTAATATCCAAAATATATTAGGAATTCATTCAACTTAACACCAAAACACCTACAAACAATCCGATTAAAAAATAGGCAGAGGACTTAAGTAGACATTTCTCCAAAGAGGACATAAAGATGGACAACGGACATAAGGAAAGATGCTCAATATCATTAATCATTAAGGAACTGTAAGTCAAAACCACAATGAGATATCACTTCATGCCTGTTAGAATGGCTATCATCAAAATATCAACAAATAAGTGCTGGCAAGGATGCGGAGGAAAAGGAATCCTCATACACTATTGGTAGGAATGTAAAATGGTACAGCCACTAGGGAAAACAGTATGGAGATGCCTCAAAAAATTAAAAACAGAACTGCCATATTATCTCGCAATTCTACTTCTGGGTATTTATCTAAAGAAAACAAAAGCACTAATTAAAAGGATATATGCACCCCTGTGTTCATTGCAACATTATGTATAGTAGTCAAGATATGGAAGCAACATACATGTCCATTGATAGATAAATGGATAAAGAAGAGTTGGTAGATATAGACAATGAAATGTTAATCAGCAATGAAAAAGAATGAAATCCTGGCATTTGCAACAACATGGATGGACCTAGAGGGTCCATCTGCATTAAGTGGAATAAGTCCGAGAAAGACTAATTCCGTAGGTTTCAGTCATATGTAAAATTAAAAAAAAAAATGAATAAACAAAACAAAACAGAAACAGACCCATAGATATAGAGAACGAGCTGATGATTGCCAAAGGGGAGGGTGGTGGGAGGATGGGTGATAAAAAAAAAAAAATCCAGCTGGCCAATAAGTAAGCAAATAAATAAATTATAAAAATCAGATACATACTGCCTTCTTTTAGAAAACAGTATACTATATAGAAAACCAGACCGAAGTAATTATTATGTAGTTATCTAGATTGATGCAAAATTTGTGCTTTATCACATGACTCATGATTAATTTAATAAAAAGTCCAAAGAAGTAAGATGTAGAAGGCAAAACAATTTGTTAATTTATCAGTTCTATAACTTAGAGCAAGTCATTTGATCTCCTTCAGTTTATTCATTTGTAAAATTTAAAAATTAATATGAGCACCTACTACTTAGTGTTGTAAGGAGAAAATGAGATGAGTAGCACCTGATCCTTATATTTTAATTTTTTTCCAGCTCTGTTATCCATTGTTGATAAAAATTATCTTCTAAAATTTGATTTATACATGTTTTCAGAAGCAGTTTTTATTTTGTAATATGAGATTAGAATTTGCTGGCATTATTAAATTGGCTTTAAATTACAAGTGATGATTACCTGTTGTTCTTACTACTACTGATTTGATCCAAAAGTGCTGCAGTATTGCAAGTTCCTAATTGCCTTTTAATCAATATTTAAAGATTTTGGTTCCAACAAGTAGAATGGCAAATGTTGATGCAGTTAGATTTTCAGAGCCTTCTTTGCAAATAAATAATGCTTGGTTTTGATTTTTCCAAATAACACTCAGACTAAATTTTCTCCCCTCATACGTGTTGTATTAGATCAGAAATGTTTGTCCATGCCTCTAATATGGGTGTTTGAAAAGCATAAGGAATGTTTCTGGGTCTGTTTCCTCCTCCTGTGAGATGGCAAAATATTTGCTATATTGTTTAAAAGGGAAATCCAGCCCTGCACCAAGGTAATCACTTTGTGTGCTTCATAAAGGAAGGTAATGATAAGAACTAGGGCAAATGCCAGAGCCTGCTTGTACTGACTCATCTTCTGCTGTAGCAGGTTAATATACATCTATCCTGGGTAACATTCGACCCATTAAAAGTAGCTTCCTTGTTACTGTGAATTATCATTGTCAGGATAAGTTCCTCATCATAGGCTTTTGACTATGGAGATTCAAATAAGCAATCGATTCAACAAACAACAACCACCAAAGGAATATTTGGAGTTTATTATTTATGTCTAGCTTTGAAAGAACCCCATTGGGACTGAACAGTGTTAGACCACTGAATTGATCATTAATGCACTAAGCAAATGCATTTAATTGGGAAGGAAGGCACCTTAGTGACACTCATGTATGAAGTGCTCTAATGTCCTGCTCATATTTCTCTCCCCTTCTGTATTAATTTAACATTTCTATATTCACTATGACCAGGTGCTCTGAGGTATTTTTCCAGTACTAGAAATGGATAATAACTATGGAGACCTCTATATATTCTTTTCAGCCTATTGTTAACTATAGTTTAAAATGTAAGATTTGAAAAAGATTTTACTTCTATCTCATATTGGAGATAGAAGTAAAAATATGTGTTCAGGTGTCCAATGGACAGAGAAAGCAGTGTTTAATGTTAATTTTCTATTGTGGTTAATTTCAAGGCACCCGCAGTTGCCATGAATGTCTGAAGCTTTGGCTCACAAAGTGTTATATCGTCTTTGGCTTGGGACATTAGTGGGAGTACAAAGACAACAAGTCTGAACAAGTTAAAAAAATGACTGGGAAAAAATGCCATTTAAAAATAATAGCAACATTAAGAACAATATTTCTACCTTAAATTCCTCTAGTATTTTACAGCTTACAAAGCATATTAATTAATTTGAAAAACTTCCACACATTGATCCTATGAAATAGTGGGGACTCCTTTTATATCTATTTTATGACTATGAGTGACCAGAGATGTTCAAAGAAATTCTATTAGTTGGGGTTCTCCAGAGAAGCAGAACCAATAGAAAGTACATATATCCAGTAATGCCCTCAGATGCACCCAGAATGTTGGACCAAACGTCAGGGTGCCCCATGGTCCAGTCAAATTAAGTCATCAAATTATCCACCACAGAAATTAAGTAATTTGTTAAATTGATAAAGTTGTGGTTGTTATTTCCCAGGTATTTCAACTTCTAGCCCAATGTTGTTTTTCTTTGTACTATACTAATTTGTTATGCAAATGTTCTTCAAGCAAATTTGGAAGATTAAATTTCCTGAGATCATAGATCCTGCCTTATTCAATGTATGAAGAAAGCTTCAGTGCATCCATTTGACAGACCTGGAGCAGTTACTGTCTGCTACTAAGGTTTCCATTATAGATACAAGAAAAAAGTGTCCCCATGATTTCTGTCTAATTGCAGCAGCCAAGATTTAATGAGGGGACATGGAAGAAAAGCATGGTGATACAGGGGAAAACATGGAGAGAAAATATTTGCAACCCAGAAATAATCTCATAAATGGTCAAGACTATAATTTACTTCAGAAAAAGAATCTTCTAAAATTTGTTTAAAAAAAAGCAGCAGTTCCAGAGATATTTGTTGGATTGCATATTCATTTCTTGTGGGAAATGAGCTTAGAGACATATTCATAGGGAAAACTGTACAAAGAGGTTCTCTGCGAGTTCTCAGTCATGAAAATCATTTTGACATTGTGCTTTCTTTAGAAGACATATACAAAAATGGTTTTTGAATAAATTTTGTGGTGCCGAATGTCTTCATATTACAAGTGAAAGATATGAGAATATACTGCAGGAAACCACTTGTATTAAAAAAATTATCATTGCCATTTTTACTTTTTTCAACTAAAGACTTCACATCTTTTGGGGTGAGAACTTACATTATTTAAAATGTCTTATTAGATAGTTTACTCAAATGGTTTACTCAAATAGTCCTCTTGTATGTAGTCAACCTTAAGGCACCACTTTAAAATAACATATTTTCCCCCTTAAGTGTGTCTGTTATTATCTATTATTATAGTAGAGTAGCAGGTAAGTGTGTGCTAAGGAAGCACATTTTTCTGCTTGTCATTGCACATTATCATAGTTACCACACTTGCTGAAAGACTATACTAGTCTGAAGGTCTCTCCTTTAAATATACCTGTTATTTCCCTTTCTTTAAACTTTTTGCCATTTCACAAGAAATAATACACTACAAACACAAAATTAAGTTGTGATTATAAGAAAACAGTATAGTAAATTAAGCAGTATATTTACAAAACAAATGGCTTAATTACTCAAGTCCTTGTGGTATAGTTTTAATAGCACCAATATTTCCTCAGATTAAATAGACAAAGGCATTAATAACTCAGGTCAGCAAGTGTTTACTGAATTCCTACCATGTACAAGGCAATCTATTAAATCTGAAGTAAAATGAAGACTAATTTATTACTCTCTAGAAGCATTACATTATATTAGGAAACAGGATGCAATGATATAAAAAAGTTAACATTTTAAATAAAGGTGCAAGACAATTGAAGATGTCATTTGGCAGTAACTGATTAATTTCTAAATGGCTTGTATAGGTAATAGTGTTTGTAGTTCAGAGAAGAGAGAGATTTTTTCGTGGATGGATGGCAAACAAAAAGTCTACAAGGAGTAATTTGTGAGTTTTCCTGACAATCAAATATATTGAGAGTTGATGGGACATGCTTAATGGCATGTACAAGAATTAGGAAGTGGGAAAACAGGTAGATATATGAGAGCATAATTTTGAGAATTTATTCAAATGGACCTTGAATACCAGGAGCTGAAATTATTTACTAGACCCTGTAAATGAAGAGAAATCTACTAAAGGTTTGAACAGACAGATGACATGATAAAGGTGATTTTTATGGTTGATCACAGTCTTACAAATGGATTGGAAAGGAGCATGTGAAGGTAGACCAGATCAGAGGCAGTTGTAATGTAAGGTAGTATGACTTTTATCTAAGAAAGAACTTGGAGAACAAAGTAAAAGTGTGGCCTGCAGAGCAGGGAGAAAGCAGGGTTTGAATGTAGAGAGACTGGAAGAAACAGGAAAGTCAGTTGAGTGCTGACTTGGGAAAGGAGCATAGGGATGATTTTGTTGAAGGCATGTGAGGATTGTGGTACTATAAAGCTATCCAAGTGTGAGACCCTGGAGGAATTTAAAAATGCAAGAATGGTAGTAGAACTGGAGATTAAGTTTAGAATAGAGATAAACAGATGGGATAGCTAAAGCCAAGAGATTGGTATAAAATCAAAGTTGAGGTTAATAAGAGAAAGAGAAAACACCAAGCTTATACCTGGTAGGGGCAGATATTTAAGATGAGGGGGAAGAGGGCTGCTAGGAAAGGATTTAGGGTTATGGTGGGAATAAAAACTAGAAATATCATGCAGCTAAAGGGCTTTTGAGTTAAAAGCAGAGAGGGGGATAGTGTAAGGCTATTATTGAACAAAATCAAATAGCAGAGAAGCCAATGGATTTGGCAATTATATTAGCATTAATTTTGAGAGTTCCTTCCACGACTATTTAAGGAGTGTCTACTACATTCCAGGTACTATTGTAGGTGTTAAGGATATTGCAGTAAGTTTTAATGGGGCTTACATTAAGTAAAGGAAAAACACAATAAACAACTAAGAAAATGGATGTATAATATCCTAATATGATAAAGAATATGAATAAACAGAAATGACAGTGCAAGGGGATGAAGACTGAGAATTGAAGGGTGTTATGGTGGTCATAGTAATGGGAGCTAATAGACACTACTAAAGGAAGTGAAGGAGTGAGACTTGTGGCTATCTGCAGAAAGTTACATTTCAACAGGAGGAATCAAAACCAAATTCATAGGGAAAGGAGGTGAAGAACTTATGTTGAAATAAATTATGGTTTTCTGCATCAACTTCTTAAAAGAAGCCAGCGGCAAAAGAAATTTTGAAAACATTTAATAGGAACCAAAACCAAAACCAAAACCAAAACAAAAACAAAGTTATGAAGAGACACGTTAAAATAAGAGCATCTCCTCCATGGTCAGGTCACTAAAACTATCTGTAAATGGATCATGAAAATTCTTAGACAATGGTATTTTCTGAAGTTATCCTCCTGAATTGCCTCTCAATAAAGGATCATGAAAATTCTTAGACAATGGTATTTTCTGAAGTTATCCTCCTGAATTGCCTCTCAATATGCATTATATTTTTATTTTACAAGATTTAAAAATA